CACACACACACACACCCTGCCCTTCAGTCCACAGTGTCTTAGCTTTATCTCAGTTGTCCACACCTTGCATTCCAAGTCTCTTGTCTATCTATAGACTTTAGCCTTCCCAGCTCAGCAAACAGCCAGGGTGAGAACAAGGCCAGCCATTAGTCCAACATGCCCCAGGGTGCTAAAAGAGGACAGGAGAGAGAGAGACACACACAGGAAGACACTGATAGATTTATGGTAATGACACACTCACTCTGTTGACCATGCAAGGGCAGGGGACTCGGATAAGTCACCAAATACTAAACTCCAACATCTGATGTCTGAAGTTCAAGGCTTGAGGTGTGTGTGTTACTATTTATTTATGTATTTATGTTATTTATTTATTTATTTATTTATAAAGTCTTGATATCTTATCCAATTGTGCTTCTCAAATAAATTTATGTCCAAATGTACCCAAAAACGATATTAATAAATGTGCACTACTCTCAGCTCAGATTAAAGGGTTTGTTCGCCCAAAAATGAAAAATGAATGAAAAATCAAAAATGACTTTTGTTCATCTTTGGAACACAAATTAAGATATTTTTGATAGAAAGATTTTTTTTTTTTATCTGAGAGCTGTCTCACTCCTCCATAGACTTAGAAAGTTAGTAAAACATTGACTAAAGTAGCTCAACCTTAATAGTCTGGTAGGAAGGGGGGGTTCACCTGCACGAAAGATTATTTTTTTTTTACGTAGTTGTTTTGTAATCCTTAAGGTGTCTAGAAAAGGATGATGTTTTGATGTTCCCCTCGAAAATTATTGTCCCGTATGTGATTTTTGGTATCATATTTTTGTGACTGTGCTTGAAAAATGAAAACTTTAAATCTGCATCTGAACAAAACATCCTACATACACAATCTACCCCATTTTCTCTTCATCTTTGCATGAGGAATTGATAGATATGAGGATTGTTTTGATTAGATGATGTATAGTGCATAAAAAATCAAATAAACACCAAAAAATATTTAAAAAAAAGGATGACATTGGATCACTGGAACTCCTCCCCATATGGACCCTTTTGATATATGTTTTCTAACTTTTGTATTTTCACAGTCTTTAGGATGTCTAAGAAGCAAATGTTGATGATCCCCACCTGAAATATTGAAGTGTTCAAAAATATGCATTAATTAAAAATCACATCATGTAATTAGGATTCACTTTGTAGGTTTATTTAACATACATTTTAAACTATACATACCCTACATGATGCACCAACACACAATTAGAAAGATCTTTCTTGGTGAAGAGCACGTAGCATTATGGAAGCCCACATTAACCGGCAGATATTGGTCTCTCCAGGTTTCTGTTAAGTTGAAAAAATAAAAAGATTGTTATACTTAATAATTAATTAATTAATTATACTTTAATTATTATTATTATTACTGGTGAGGGAATGTGTTTCAACTCGAGTGGGACAATCTGAACAAAATAACATGAAAAACGAAATAAGTTTATCGAGCGACGAGAATACTTTTTGTGCGAAAAACAAATGATAACTTTGATAAAAAAAAATAAATGATAAAAAAAAATGACTTTATTCAACTATTCATTTTCTTCTGGGCCTCTGAGTGAACGTAGTCTAACTACGCATATGATGCTGGACAAATAGTGAGCCTACGTTCTTACAACACTGAACTGTTACACTACACTCACTCTGAGGCTCACACACAAGAACATTAATAGTTGAGTAAATTTGTTATTTTTGTTTGATTTTCACACAAAAAGTATTCCCTTCGCTTGATAACCTCAAGGTTGAGCCACTGTAGTCACTTGAACTATTTTAATTATTTTTTTACTAACTTTCTGGGCCAATTCAATTACAATAGAAGCCTATGGAGGAGTGATCCAGCTCTCAGATTTAATAAAAAATACAAATAATTTGCTTTCCGAAGATAAACAAAAGTTTTACAGGGTTGGAACAACATGAGGGTGAGTAATTACAGACTTCATTTTCGGGTAAACTAACCCTTTAACACATTTTTTAAATCGATTCTGTAGAAATCCACTGGTGTTTCCCCAAAGAAAATTTCCCAGTTTCCCAGGAAAAAATCCTGAATTCCGTTTGCGCAAGCATATGACTACCCTCTTGGCTTCTTTAAAAGTATTATGCGACTGACGGGTTTTATTGGGCTTAGTGACTACTTAATAAAAGTCATTTCTCATGTGTCTTTAAATATGTGAACCTATAACGTCATTAATGCTCACAGAAGGTATTCGACTGTCTGTACAGTATGTTCTAAAAATGACACCCCTCTCCTGGGCCTCACGCCACTGGCGAGAAAAAGAAAGAGAGTCCATATGTGACATAGTTACTATGTTCAAATGACACACCTTCTAAGAATTCAACAAGCCTCATTCAAACAGGCTGTTATCTCCAAACAGGGCTCAGTGTGGGCTGCGGGCTCTGTTTATTCAAACCTAAAGGGCATTGCAATCTCCACAACAAAGTGTTCACCTGGGATCAATCAGTTAGCTTATTAAAGCACTAACAATATTCAAATGATGCTGCTGCTATTTAAGTGTGTGTGTGTGTGTGTATTTTTCTCCCCTGCACCATTTGTGATTAATTATCCCTCACAAATCTAATCATAGAACACACATGGTTGCTTCTAACTATCTATCTGTTGTCCTGTGCTTGAGGGGGGAAAACAACAATGAAGAGACTGATTCCACCTTTAATGAGATTGGAGTCAGCATACAAGTTCTTGTGGCATTGCTCGACCCCCATTCAGCAAGCAGGTGTCCATTTCTAATGACTCAAAGATCCTGACAGCCTGCCATTAAAAAAAGTGAGACAGAGAGAGAGAGAGAACGAGAAATAACAAGTTAGATATGGCTCACTGGAATGGGGATAAAATGACACTTGACCATTTGACCCCACAAACCTTTGAGCAGGCCTGTCAGGGTGAAAGGTTGAGCTTGGTGCGATGTCTGGGTGCTAATCTAGTTCCCATAACCTCCTAACCAACACCATTTGACCAAGGGTAAGGAATTGTCTTCAGTGTTTTGTGTCTCAAATTGTTGTGGAAGTTGTATCTGTGTGTAAATTTTAGTGTGAGGCCATTCTGTTAGAGCCAAGTAGTTTGCGCTCAGATGATGTGTTATAAATCTATAAGCTTGGTTAACTGTCACAAATTTGAAAGCGGGTGCGAGGTGGTCATTGTCCATTAAGGTGCACTTACTTTGTGTCCACTCAACTCCACACACCACAGGATTAATAGAGCAAAGCCAAGCTGGGGCAAAGGAAGTGATGCAAAGCTAGTTCAACACAGACGGACATTGGCGATGAGGCATTGGTGTCTAGCGGTACACAAACTCTCAAACCGACTAAAAAGTTGACAATGTGTAACGTTTAAACAACTGAGTCAACCTCTGTTTAGACAGCGGTAAAGTCCTCTTTGGCAACCTCTGTGAATAGCCCAGAGCAGAATGCCTGCCAGCGGACCATAAACACAAGGAACTTTTGATCAGGAGACCAATTTGCACGGCCAAACCCACAAAGACACGAAACTAAAACAAACCATGCACCTCAGTGTTTTGAGACTCACATTTTCCAAGTCACTGGAGAATTCTGAACTACAGAACACTGGGAAAAGAAGGATATCTGGGGATACTGAGTGAGTAATGCCCATATGGATTTTTATAACAGTGAGAACATAGTAACATAGTAACAGAGAACATAGTAACTATATATATATATATATATATATATATATATATATATATATATATATATATATATATATATATATATATATATATATATGTTGTATTAGTTGCTAGTTTGATTTTTGACAGGCCATGACAGGGACGGTTCATCCAAACGGAAAATTATTGAAAATGAGCTCACTCTCATGTCGTTCCAAACCCATGGAACACAAAAGGAGAAGTTTAGTCGAATGTCTAAGCTGCTTGCTTCCATACAATGAAAGGGAACGAAGACCAGGAGCTATCAAGCTGTTAAACGGAAAAAAGGCAGCATGAAAGTAGTCCATATAACTTTCACACCAAATTAAAGATCTTCCCAAAACTTCATTTAGCTTTCCATATAAAAAAAAAAACAGTTTTAATCAATGGAAATCTCATATTGCTTGGCAGCCATGGTCACAATTCACTTTCATTGTATTGGAAAGAGCAATTTGGGCATTTAGACTTTTTTGTTCCACATAAGAAAGGACATGAGGGTGAGTACATGATGGCAGAATAATCATAAATACAGCATTAAAGTCTGTAAAACTTAAGTACATGGGTTTATGTGAGCATTCTTTGATCAGCCGTGGAGAGAAAAGTCAGTGATTTATTTTATTTGTCTGTCTGTAGTGTGGCATTGTTCGAGTAGAGTGACATGTTGTCCTTAAACGCCAGATGAATAAATGGGAATGATTGGGTATAGGGAAGGGTTGAAGTTTCGCTTTTTTCACACCTGCCAAAACACAATAGGCCTCTCTAAACACAAGTGGCTGAAGGGAAATATTAAAGAAACACGTCTCTACCTGGTTTTATGGATTTGTGTTAGACAAAAGAGAAAATTTGAGAAAGCATCACTATAAAAAAAACTTGGTTTGTGGTCAAGGCAATATTCGACTATAGAACATATTCAAAATAAAAGAAACAGGAATAAACTGCTAAGCTGCTCTTCAAGTATGTAACAAGGTAACACTTTTCAAGGCACTTGATCACATGACCCCAGAGATCTCCTTCACCCAATGGCTGAACACACCAAGCACACAGTAGTGGGCAAACTATGGAGGAGGGGAGAAGTGCAATGAGTGCAGTAGAGCTGCTCATGATGACCTTCCTAATTATTATAGCTTTAGTATGATGCTCAGCTTTGTGTGTTTGTGTGTGTGTGTGTGTGTGTGTGTGTGTGTGCGCGTCAAATGTCCTCTTCAAAATATATAAATATACATATAATATATACAATTAAGAGACAAAAATGCAGAGAGAAATCTTTGTCACCGGACACAGATATACTTTAATTTTTTTTTTTATTATTAATTGTTTTCAATAAAGGGACAAAATTGGTTGGTGAACAGGATAATGTAGACAACTGCCAGAAAACACAGACAGTGGTTTCTCCAATAAAACTTAACATAGACCAGAAACAAACAAAAAGCAAGTCTGTCAATGACCTTTGGTCATTCTTTTCTTTAAAAAATAGAATAAAATAAAATAAAAAAATAAAACATAAAAAATGAAAACAAACGAACGAACGAACAAAAAAAGGATCCATTGTATGTCTCCGTTTTGAACAGAGTATTTAAGCAATAATAAATAGTGACTCCCATTGAAAAAGATAAAGTTCAAGTTCAAGTTACAACAAACAGCTCTCATAACAGGAATAGAAAAGGCTGATAACAAAATATTCCGCATTGCCATTTACAAAAGAGTATGAACTTAAGTGGGCTGCTCCTTTAGTTCCATTTCATTTTTAAATATGCTTTGCATATGAAAGTCGTCCCAATCTAAATATAAAGCACCATTTAATATTTGGCAATGAAAAAAAAAAAACACCTGCAAAACATTGATTATTTGAATGATTTTTTTTTTATTGTTTGTTTATTTACTGGTATTTTACTGCATATGAAGTTAGCTTTTTTTCAAGATGCTGGAATGTATTCAGGTGAGACAGGTGAAAAGACAGAAGCACACTACAGAACAACCCAACATTAGCTTGCTGTACTGCATACAGAATGGCAGCAGAGGAGATTTTAAAAAAGAAGAACAGAAAAAAAGATATGTACAACCACCTGTTTTAGCTAGTGTGGACATTCTCAAAAGACTCCTCTGGGAAACCATTGAATGGCCTCCTTTGTTCAATGCCACATACTTTAATTTTTTAATTTGATTTTTTTCCCCCGTTTTCTTTTTTTAAACATACAAATAATTCGTACTATATTATCCTGCCAAATTAAAAAAATATACCGTGGCAGCTTGTTGTTTTTTTCCACTACCAAAAAAGGTACAATAATACCTTTTGAGAGAACAAGCAACAGTTAAAAATACAAGCCTCAATATAAATACTGTAGTACCTACACTAGGTGAACATTTAATTCAAATACCATTCTAGAAATACAGAAGAAAGTAGACCATAAATGTGTTTTAGCATAGGAACCGACATGATGTGCATTTTCCTATATTTAAGTTTCTCTATTATATATTTTATATATAATCTTAAACCTTTCCCCAATGCAAGTTTGACCTGAAGAGCTGTGAAGAGCCAAGATGTAAAAAGAAAAAGCAGAAAAAAAAACATATTTTTCCCATTTTATATATAATGTGATCAAGTCTTGAACACCACCAAGACAAAGAGGAAAAGAGAAACAACAAACTTAAATACAGTTTCCCCTAAGATAATGTTACCTTTTAAAAAAGTCATTTTATTTTCATACTTAAAAAAAGATTTGTACAAAAAAAAGTTCTTGCAGTGAAAGCAGCAAGTTTCAATTGTCCGTACTTTGTCAAGCACTGTGTGCTTTGACACAATAATATTATATCGGAGTTGGGCTTTATCTTCGTGGGGTGAGAGGAGGAGTTGGCTTTTTTACATTAAATAATGACACCATGTTCGATTATTTTGGAAGTTTTCCCTCTCGTGAATACCTGTAAACTGGGAAACTTTAACAGTGCACTTCGTTGTCCAACAAGCAAGCAATTGTAATTTATACTCAAATACTATACTTCCAATTAGCATGTCTAATAAAAAAAAAAGAAGGGCAGAGTGGCAGGTGCTGTCTAAACACCAAAAACGTTGTCTAAAGTCATAATGCAGCTTTGATGTCATAATGCAGCAATGAAAAAGAGTCCCTTGAATGTCAACTTATACCACACTATGTGTGAAACTCATATTGTATAAAACAAAGGAATAAAAGTGACATGTATGGTTTTCCCTCTATCTCTCTCTCTCTCTCTCTCTCTCTCTCTCTCTCGCTCAGTCGGTCTTTCAGGCTCATTTAGTCTTTTAGGGAGCTCAGACATAGGCAATAATAAAGAAATAAGATTTTGACTCAGACCTGTAGGCAATTCATAGTTAATCATCACTGACAGCTGCAAATATTTCAATGCTTTCTTATTAACCAATTCTCAAGTGAACATTACATTGGTTCGGTCCAAATGCCCTCAAGTGTTCCTTCACCATTGACGTTCACACTAACAATGGTCATCAAAGAAACGTCAAAATGTTGTGCTACTGAAGATAAGACTTGAACAAACACGGAAAAGTCAAATGATTGTGGATTGAAAACTAGTACCGCCAAGTACAGTACCTTCAGATAGAAGAAGTAAACAAGACTGAATCTCACACCATATACTGCTTGTGCCATGGCCGGGACATAAACCACAATGGAAAGATACATTTTACATAGGTACCTAATGATGATTAACTAGAAATTTATTTAGCTTTTTGATTACTACTATTTCTCTCTAAAGTCACAGTTGACTGTAGCGGTCAGGTGCTTGATGCAAGAACCTTTTGAGGATCCAATCGATCCTTATGTAGTATCTAGCTGAGACTCCAGAATTACAGCAGATGAGATTAACCAATGCAATTTCAAGATATCCAAGGCACTCTTTTTGTTTGTTTTACCAAATGATAGTACAAATTCAAATCTTAATGCTGTTTCCTTTTCAAGAAATCCAAAGGCTGTCATTACTCTTTTTTTTTTCCATATCAGGGGCCGATTCATATTTTAACCCTATGTGGACAGAACATCTTTTTGAAAGAAAAGTTTAAGTGCGATATCCAGCCCGTCCAAAGAGGGTTAAGCAATAGCCTGTAGTCCTCCATGTTACAACACAAAACTGTACATGATATGTATTACAGAATGTATGCAGCATGGTTGTTTTTTCTTTTCTTTTTCTTAGATCTTAAAACAAAAAAAAGAAAAATAAAGAAAAAACATTTTCAAATAATGAACGTTAAAACAGCAACACATTTACTAAACAACTAACCAACCAGGGACAATTTATTTTAAAATTAGCCAAAATATATCATCATGCATGCTGTCATAATTTTCCAAAATGGGAAAGGAAAAAGAAAAAGTACACAACATGTAAATTATTGCACAAGAGAAAGGCTCCAAGTTTGCGTCAATGCAATAGTATTGCCCCGATACAGATCATGCATTCAACGGTAAATGAAAAGGGTGTGCTGGTGGTGCCAAGCACGTTGTCTTAGCCGCCACTGGACTAGCGAAACAGGGAAATCTACAAGGATGAGGGTGGGAGTGGGGTAAGGTGTTATTCGCTGTTAACAGGCAAGTGAGTTACCACACTTCCCCGTTACTCAGTTTTAATTTCGTTGTTCAATGCGCGGTCACTGTGCCATTTTTTCATGTGTTTCTCAAGGGTGCTGTACACACTAAAAGGCATCTGACAGATTTCACATTTGTAAACGTCCTTGCCCACTTGCCCGTGTGTTTTCATGTGCCGTGTTAGCTTGCTGCTCTGGGCACATGCATAATTGCAGAGATCACACTTATAAGGCCTCTCGCCCGTGTGGCTGCGCCGGTGCACTGTCAGATTGCTGCAGTTTTTAAATATTTTGCCGCAGAACTCACAGGTGTCACTGCGTCGGCCATCTTTCGAGCTGGGCCGACCGGGACCCCCGAGGTGTGGTGTGCTGCCACCACTGCCAGTCCCGCTGCGGCCCGAGACGCCACCATCCAGGTCCCCTGGTGGCGTAGAGAAGCGCAGGCTTCCGTTCTCTGAGGAGTGCTCTGAAGACGAGGCGAAAGGCGATTGTCTGGAATCCCCAAAACTCAGAAAGGGGTCCTTGAGCTGCCGGGAGGCAGCGTATCCAGCCAACCACTGAGAATAGACATTCTCAGTGTTGGGGATTGTAGGGGTCGAGAGATCAAAGTCTTTCTCCAGCTTGATTCGTTTGGAGAAAGGACTAAGTGAGCTGGGACTGCCCAGTAAGAGCTTCTTGGACAAACCGACGGAGGCCGACTCGCTGGGGGACGAGCCGCGACCGTTGATAGCTGAGCCACAGCCCTCGTCCACTCGGTCTGATTCCAGAGCGGAGTCCTCATCACACATGCCCCTATGTGCATTACTGTCCGAGTTTAGAGCTCCTCGCTTGTGTTGATGAAATGCCTCGCTGTAGTGCTGCATGCTGGCAGCTAAGCCCATGCCCTGAATAACCTCAGGCAGCGAACGCGGAATCCCATCCTCGCCCTCACCTGCAGCCAGACGGCCACCGTTGTTCTCGTGGTGCCGTGTAGCCTCAAGGTTGAGGCTAAAGTGGTAGTTGTTTCTACCTCTCTCCCTCTCCAGCTCCTCTTCCTCTCCTTCCTCCTCTTCCTCTTCCTCCTCTTCTTCTTCCTCCTCCTCCTCTTCCTCTTCCTCGTCTTCCTCTCCGTTCTCTGGAATCAGATGATCGTTTTCACTCTTGAATTTGGCTACCACAGACTTGAGGGCATTACTGGCACTACCCACCAAGTCGCTGGTTCCCGGTTCAGGAGAGCTGGCCGTGGACAAGCCGTCATCGGATTTGACAGTCATTGGTGATGACTTATTCATGTGTGTCTTCATGTGCCGCTTCAGCTTGCTGGCCTGCGTGCAGGCGTGGTCGCACAGGTGGCACTTGTACGGTTTCTCACCCGTGTGACTGCGTCGATGCACTATTAAATTACTCTGGAACTTGAAGGTCTTCCCACAGAACTCACAAGACTTGGACTTCAAGGGCGTGTTGGGCTGTTGAGGAAGAGGGGTTGGGGTGGACTGGGAGCCAGAGGGGGACTGCATGGAAGGTAGGGGAGGGCTAGAGAGAAAGGGTGGCTTGGTTCCTGACTGGAATGGTTGCAGTAGCCGTTGCATAGGGCTGGGCCGGTTGGGTGAGAGAGGAGGAGTTGACCCTGAGGTGTTACCAGCCAGCTCCCTCAACCTACGAGAAAAGTCCATAGCTGGGGGATCCATGGGTATGGGGTTGAGGCGCAGCACCCTGTCAAAGGCACTCGGGTGATGGGTGGCCAAAGCCAGCTCCTCCGGGCTCAGGTGCTCCATGCGATGAGGGTCCAAGTGATGGCGGGGTGGAGGGCTAAAGAGAGGTGGCGTAGGGGGAAACCGACCCTCTCGGAGAGGAGGTCCATCGCGTCCATTGTTGGGTATCCGCAGCAGGTTGAATGGGCTTCCCTCTGGGAGATGGATGCCATGCAGGGGGGGCTGAGAGGAGCAATCTGCGCCCATTCCTGAAGGAGCTGCCACACGGGGTGTGAGCGGACTTCCGCGCTCGCTCTCAAGGTAGATGCGGAAGCCATGAGTGTTCTGGGCATGTTGCAGCAGAAACCAGGCGCTGCTGAACGGCTGTTTACAGGTTGTGCAAGTGTAGCTGCTGGGCTCATCTTTACCTGAAAAACACATAACGGAAAAGTTAATTCTCTAAATGTACCGAAGACATTAACTGCAAGTCATTTAAAGGAAAAACATTTGGTTAATAGGTCTCTACATCTGCTACATGTGTTTGTTCTTTTCTCAGTTGCTCCCTGGTGTATTTTGGACGTACAAAAACCCTACAGATTGGGCCTTAATCATTTATGAACCTGCCTAGACCCCGGGCCGTTTGCAGCCCCCCATACTAACAGTCTTTCAACAGCTTTAGCCCCTCAGCAGGCTTAAGTAAGTATCACATAACAGTAAACACAGGTCTTATTATAAACATGCTCCCAAACAGCAGTACAGGCCAGACCCCAGTGGAGCAGAGCTTTTCACAGCATAAGACCAGACAAAGCACTGATATTCCAGCAGAGAAAGACTGTGTTGGGGTTTGGCTCAGGTCTTTGCATGGGGTGATACACTTCTGCTTTGTGGTTGTCAGGCGGGCAGTAAAAGCAAACAATACCTCTCTCTCAAGCTGAACGCTTTCATCCGTGTACAAAAACAGATGAACAGGAAGCATACAGTAAACAAAATTTGGAAGGACTAAAGTAATAGATCCTGTAAAGGGAGCAACAGAGGAAGCACACACATTTTTAGGATCTGTTTAAGGTTACATTACTCAATGTTCAGGTGTTGTGAACCAGTGCAAAGCTAGAGGATGAACATTTGTTGTAACACCTCACACAACACTTTGTTTTTTTGTTTCGGAATTAGAATTCCATTTAATAAATTCTCAGTATTCAAACAAAAAAGAATAAAAAAAAGAAAAATAAAAATGAGAGAGACTATCTCCTCCCTTACAACTGAAATTGTGGACAATTGTCACGGCAAAGGAACACTTAAAACAATAATTGACTTTAAACGGCACTTTGACAGTGACCTGTGATGTTCCTCCCATTGCGTTTGTAATCTCATTTAATGTTTCTGACTCCTACACCACCTTATTTTGGAGATTAAATAATAAAGGAGGCTGGAAACAAGAGCCTTTCAACATTAAAAACACTGTGCTGGAGCCTGATGCAATGTTACCAATTTATGTAATATTTTTCTTTCTGCATTTTGTAAGAACTGATACAGTATTCCCAGTATATTCACATGTGAACGCCTTGTTATTTTTGATTATCTGGTCTCTGTAAATAAAATAACACCAGATAATGACCAAAGATGCTTTTATAACTTAAAAAAAAGAAAAAAATCTTCATTTACATACACCTCTCTCATAAATATGCTCATCTAAATGTCTTATTTAGGCCAGATAGAAAGCTGTCAAACGCTACAGAACCATTTTTGATAATTACACTGATTACATTTCTAACTAAAAAAAAAACGTGATGAAAATGGCATTTGCAACAGGTAAACAAGCAGCGGGTTCAGGATGCCTATAGTTAAAAACACACGATTAACTCACAAATGGCAATGAAATGGATATTTTCATGAAGTAATGAGTGACAGTTTGAACTCTGAAAATTACCAGCGCTAAAAGGGATGTTATATGCAAGATACAGATATCTACCTACGCTCCCAAAAACGCAAGGTCAAGCGGTCAGGAAAAGAGCCATCATCCACACAGGAACCACAACAACAAACATTGAAAATGGACAGGGGAGATGGATTTAGCTCCCCCCTACAAGCCAGAGGTCTCTAAACTGCTATCATGTACTGTTTACAACCATCCCGAGAGAAAGGGGGAGAGGAAAAAAAGCAAAAAATGGAGAGATGGCGGGAAGAAAAGCTGAAAGAGGTGCTGAACGGTGCCGAACAGGCAGCGTGCACTCTTTCATCTAGTTTGTTTTCCTCAGAGGGGCTTTCTCTGAAGTCTTCAATAGCCAGCAAAGCATGTAACGAGGCAAGGCCTTTCTGCTGCTCAGAGGAGGAAAGGCAGGCCAGAGCCACTGTGGGTTTTCTCAGATAATCCTGTTAATGCACACAAATGGGGGTGGCTCTGGAAGGCTCTGTTGCGGGCAGACAGCCACCTCCGGACATCGCTGAACCCTTTTGTGCTGTCATCATTTTGTCCCTGCCTTGGCACTTCTTAAACATGGTCAACGAAAACACACACGCACTCTACATGAGCAAGGTGTGTAACGAATATATGATAGTGTTTAAGAATGGCTGTTAGGAATGACATGAGAGAAGCTACAAAATAATATAAAAGATGGTGATGTATACCAGTTTTTCCCAAAACTTTGTTATCTCGAGCCCTGTCAGTAACACCACATCGTGAATGTATTCTCTTTTACTCAAAACATACTGAATATCAGTTAGAATTAGCATTATTCGAATTAAAGTGTAAATATTGAAAATCATCCACTTATAATCAAAACACAGATTCAACAAACAGCTTCTTCTCTGTTTAATAAGACAATTGAACTTGCTTGTCTCTCTAAATTATGAGATTTATTGTGAAATATTTAACAAAAGTGTGTGTGTGTGTGTGTACACTCAAAACGCAACGTTGTACAAGATTGTAACTTGTTCATTTAAATACCAGTTACAAACTATGAAATATATCACCCACAAGCAAGTGCACTATAGTACATTTGTCTATTTTGAGAAGATATGAATTTAAGGTAACAAACCATAAACATTTAAAAGACGAATATCAAAATGTTTCCAAATGCCACCAGAAACTGCATATAGCCCTGGCATGTGCTAAAGACAAAGCTATTCACACAGATTTGACAGACATTTAAAAAAAAAATAAATAATAATAATCCAAGGTCCCAGAACAAAAGAGCAATGGTGACGATATCACATGCAAGCTTTCAGCTGAGAGAGATGGGCAGTGAGGGAGGTGACGGCTGGTGTAAATAGAGAGAAAAATAACAGCACATTGCTGATCTGTGGCCCTGCCACCCACGAGCACCTCCTGACAATCTCACTCATGACCAACAGCTGAAAGCACTGCACCAAATCAAGACAGCACACTACTTTATATCAGGAGGGTTGATGCAAAGGCCAGCTAAATTATGGATCATTACAATCTGCAGAAATTACATTTAATTGCTGCCACCTGCAGAGGGTTTAACCTAGTATACATTTTTGTATTATCATGCAAAGGGTATTTTTCACTCCCGTCACACAGCTACAACCATAATGGCTATCTGTTGTTGTCGAGTTGGAGGGAGAGTTTTAATTTGCCACGTGCCAAACACAAAACCCGGTTCGCTTTCTGGGAAACTGGGTCTACGGAAGGTTCGAGTCTTTAAATAGACTTTGAGGGTCCGCCATCTCCTCGCCAGCCACGGGGATCTCTGAAGGACAGGTTACCGCATCTCCATGTTTAACAAGGGCCCGCTTCATTTCATTACACATGGCAACGCTCAGCGGAATATGTAATCATCTTTTTCGCATGACATTTTGAATATCCAACTAGACAAATAATTGCGGCAATAATTGATAGCTTCACGCAGGCTGCAGTATTATTGACTGGCGTGCCTCTCACAGGCACCGGCGTGTGCCATGCGGGCAGCGTGCTTGGCACGCTCGCAGCCAGGTTCTTCTTCTGACAAAAAACTGTCACAATCTGTTCCGATGACAGGAGTCGGCGAACCACCGACAGGTGCTCCGATAATCTGCTATTAGACTCTGAAGATTTTACTGGGTGGAATTAAAAGCAGCAGCCTGCCAAAGAAATTAGCCTCCCCCTCCTTTTGGTCTAATTTTCATTTTCTCAAGAGAGATGAAAGAGTATTCTTTGCATCATTGACTGTCTTTTTGAGGAGCTGAGCATTCGGGATGGATGAGCAATAAAAGCAGACGAGGGACTTGTGGGTTCTCGGCTGTTTAATGTGTGCAACTTACAGTACGTACGTGGCCACCGCTTGGTGCGCAAGCTTGCTAAATGTAATGATAATCTGTGCCTCGACACTCTAAACACTTAAGAGAAGTCGAAAAGCGGTCTTGCTCTAATTTTCGACAATTCCTCAGTTAATTATGCAGCTCTCCAATTTGCAGCGAAAGCGGGTCAGTCCGGACAAGCTGGCAAGACGTAGCATTGCAGGCAGAGACTGCCGGTGACAGTTGTTGGACTGGTCTGCGGGAGCTGGCAGCGGCATGGCTACTTACAGACGGATGCGAGCACTCAGTGCATTGCTGGCAGTTTTTACGCAGGGAAATGTCAGAGCAATGTTACAGCACACAACAACCCCCCCTCCCCAAACTGCCAACCACATCCTCACAGGACCGACTAATCCAGCTAAATCGGCACACACACGCATTAAACTGCAGTTAGATAAAGCCACATTAAATGATCTTGACAAAAAGTAAGGCTGTATTACAGAGCGGTGATGGCTTGGCAGAGAGTGACTGGTGCCCATGGTGTAACTGGAGATGAGGAGGAAGGAAATATGTTGTGAGCCCCCCCATCCACCCAATCCCCCCTTGCTGAGTCCTGCATCTTGCACAGGAAAACTGTAGCACACCAAACAGATAGCTTTACAGTGCAAAAATAACCAAAAAGTGTCAAGTTATGACTTGTGCAAATTTCAGACAGCTCGTCTGGGGTGTAGAATGTATAAAATCCGCCTAGGGGACAGGTCAGTCCAATAATATTGCAAAAGTGCACTCGAACACACACACACACATAGCCTGTTTGTCGGTGTTCAAAAGGCATCGTGTTAGTTACACAAGCGCATTTACAAATGAAAAATTGTTTTACCGTCATACCAATTCCATTAAAACACAGTTAAATACTGCTAAGTGCATGAAATGAGCATTACCAATGGATTTATCTTGACTGACACACATGGATGACTGACACGTATAGATGGAGAGCGTGTGTATTTGGAGTAATGTCTACAGTTGGCTTTGTTAAGAGAGCGGGGTGCATTTCTATGTGTGCCGTCTGGATCGATGGCGCTGGCAGACTAAGATGAATGCCAGATTAAAACAGCTCGGGCAGCCCAATATCCCCGACATGCAGATTCATCCATTGTTCTTCCTCCCACCACTAAAAACCACCCCCCCTCAC